ATGTGAGAGAAAAACGCGAGGTAAAAAGGAGTAAGAAGAAAAGTCAGTAGCAATGAAAAGTGAAAGTAGGCAAAAATTGCACAGCAGAAAGCAATTGAACTATTAAAAAAAGAACGAAAGACTGAAAAGACAAAAAATTAAGAAAATAAGCTTAAAAATAAAAACTTTATAAAGAAAAAATATGTTTGGTAATTGATTTCTCAAAAATGAACTTTGCTACTAGTATATTTGAACTTTAAAACAAAATATTTGAGTCTTCTGGAAAAAAATTAAAACAGAAATGTTTATGAACCAGAAATAAACACTTCTGGTGTCAAATTTTTGTGTTAGTTACAATATTTGTATTATCATATTTTACAAACTCAATTCAAAAGTCACCTGGATATTGGAATAATTTAAATGCATCACGCATTCACTTCCTTCAAGTTGTTGACACTAACAATGCACGTTTAGCAATTTCAGCAGCTTATTTATTTATTTTCCTTTTTTTTTTTTTTTTTTGAGACAGGATTTCACTCCAACTGGCCAAGCTGGAGTGCTGTGTCACCATCTTGGCTCACTACAACCTCTGCCTCCCGAACTCAGGTGATTCTCCAGCCTCAGCCTCCCAGGTAGCTGGGACTACAGGTGCATGCCACCACACCAGACTAATTTTTGTGCTGTTGGTAGAGACAGAATTTTGCCATGTTTCCCAGTCTGGTCTCAATCTCCTGGGATCAAGTGATCCTCCCACCCTGGCTTCCCAAAGTGCTGGGATTACAGGCATGATCCACTGCGCCTGGCCTAACAGCTTATTTCTTTACAAAAACACAAAAATATTAACAAGTTTTATAAGAAAGGAAATCTTTATAAATTCTCAATATTCAGTTAAGAAAAACTGATCCATTGCAATTAATATAGTCACATAGGACCATACTGAATGTAATGTTTTGCTTATATTTCATTATTCAATAAATTTGATTATATAACAGTGATTTTCCAAGTAAATGTGAAATCCATATCCAATACTTAATCTAGTCATATGAGAAATTTACTTTGAAAATAATTAAATTTAAAATATTTGACTAAATCTAATTTATCTTATTTTTTTGGAAATTGGATGTCCAGAAGTTTATTTTAAAGTTGATTAATTTTTATAAATTTTTTACAAAGAAAGTTAAATAATTTGACAAAATACTGACTTAAGTCACATAAAACCAAATTCAGTGATTTTTTAAAATTTATTATTCTGTCTCCAACTAAACTATAATCTCTTCGAAAGTGAGAACTAGAATACTCAATGTGTGGTGTAACTTTTGGCACTCAGTAGGAACTTGATGAATGCTTCATGAAATAATTTATTTTATATCTTGAATTAATCTATTTTTTTAAATTACTATTTCCACTGCACATTTGCACTGTCAGTTGTGTTTCTGTGAACACAGAAAGAAAATATCAATGTTTAAAAATTTGCCCAAGCTACAAAAAAATGTAAAAATACTTGGTAAGATATAAAAGGAATTATAAAGTGATAATAGCTGCCTAAAGTGAAATCCCTCAACTGGTCTACTCTGGCCCAGTGAGTGGGCCAGAGTAAGGAGAAGAGAGAAAAAATAGAGGAGGGCAAGGCACTCTACATGACAGAAACTTTTTACAAGCACACTTTCATTTAAATGTTCCACAGGGCTGTCTCTGTAGAAACCACTGTGAGTTCAGTGGGACAGCCCCTTTCAACTCTGTGTCTCCCAGAATATTACCTTGGTGAATGTATAGATAATAAGAAATGTCTCTGTATTTTTAGCCCTTAAATCTTGCCTCATTTCAACAAAAGTAAATGTGTGTATGGGAAACACTTTTCCAAGTAATCATTCTATTCTTCTGGAATAGTAAAGTTTTGTAGAATCTGAACATCCTATTATTACAGTTTCAATAAATACATTCTGTGTTATTCAAAAAGAAAAACTTACTGGGAAAAAATGTTACACTTGGGCTGATTTTCCTCAAAACAGGAATAAAATATTGTAAAGCAAAACCTCCTTAGCATTTTCAAAGATTAAAATGGTTGGTCTTGATGAGCATATGTTCAGTTGTACAACTCTCCACCCCTTGAGGTATATGCTATTATTAAGAATTGTGCACAAATAACAGCGTTGTTACACCCTTACATTTGTGAATCGAAAGAAGTTTGTGTCCTATCATTTTAATTTGTAAATTTCAGGTAACCAGCAGAACTTACCTTGAAAAAAGTCATGGTTGCACCATCCTCTACTGCTCCATATTCTATCTTGGTTTGTTTAGCTAAATCATCAGCAGAGTCAATAGGGGATTCCATGCGTTCCACTGTCAGAAAGGCGGCTAAGTTAGCAGTATACGAAGAAATGATGATAAGTGTGAAAAACCACCAAATGCCTCCCACTATCCTGGTGGACAGTGCTTTGGGCATGAGCTCAGAACCTAACAGAGAGTGGGGGAAAGGTGAAACGAATATAGAGAATTTGATCAGCAATCAGATACTTTTGGTCACAGTGGCAGAATGGAATCACTGTGTAATAAAAGCTTAAATCAAAGATTTACATATTACTTTAGTAAACAAGCAACAACCATTGAGAGAGCAGAGGCTAATTTCAGAAAATAGACAATCTTTTAGGACATTCTTGTTTAAATATAGTGACAGGAGACTCCAGTTCTATCTGAGATGATGCAAAGTTCCAATTAAAATATTAATGAGTAAACATTTTTTGATAAAAATAGCATTAGAAGAGAATTTTTAAGCTTTCTGGTTTGTAAACCACATGTATTGTTTTTTCATATTTTGTTAGTTATGAGGGTTTCAGAGGAAGTGCTTAAATATACGTTTGGATCCATTTCTTAAGCTTTTTGTAAATTTCATTTTTCATGTGCATATAGCTCAAACATTTTATCCTGTTATTTTTTAAAGTTATGTATAATAATAAAATAACTACTATTACCCACACTTCTTGAAATGATGTGGGGTTTTAATGTAGTGTTTATTTTAAAATAAGATAATAAATAATGTTCTCCTGTATAAGCAAATATCTCCCATCACTATGGTTAGCATCAATTAAAAAATTAGAATATGAATATATATCTAAATTGTCACATTTATTTTTACACATATATAAATATTTTATAAATATATCAGAATGTATGGCTGGAGTTGCCTGCTCATTGTCTTAATAAAAGAATGGGATCTGAGAATTATATTTTACTTTTGACTATTATTAATTTTAATTCATTTAGACTATAAGATAAAATCCTACCAATTTTAAAATTTGGTCTGTTATTTAAAGTTTAATTACAGCTTACCACATTGTTTATATTCTTAATGCTTAAACAAACATATCAACATGTACAATTTTTTATAAGTAAGGTGTACTAAATTTGTAGATATGTACATTTTACTATTCACTTTTAATCATTTTGAATCTATCAAGAAAGCATAGGCTACAAAGTACTTAATTTTATTTGTGTTTGAGTAAAATGGAATGAAGCAAAGACGGACTTACAGTCATATCTTTAGTATAATCTCTGATGCAGTAAGGTAACACATCTTTAGATGGAATAAAAAATAAAACAAATTATTCACACGAAGCTTGAAAAATAGGTGGTATTATGACTGCACTATATCAAAACAGCCCATCTTATACTGCAGTTCATCTTACCATTGCAATTTCAAACAAACAAACAAAATTTTAAAAGCAGTCAAACTTGGACATGACAGCCAACTCCAGCTCCAGATTCTGCCTACGACTCTGTAAGGAAGAAAAAAAAAAAAAAAAAAAAAAAAAAACCAGAAAAGTACCTTTC